CACTACCGTCGCCTCACCAGCGCGTGGGAAGAAAACCCGCCACCGCCGCTTCGCCGGCATGCGGGAAGTTACTCTGAACTGCCATGTCGTCGGGCGCGTGGGAAGGGAGCCGGTCCATCGTGACGTGCGAGCTCCGGGCACCGTCGGGAGGCCACTTGACGGTGGCGCACTCACCCTATCGTGGGCGCGCCCACCGGTGAAGGGGCCCGTGGCGGTGCCATCTTCCTCCTCTGGTCGCCGTGGCGGCCGCCGTTCGATGAAGCTAGGGCAAGGGAGCGAAACTGTCTAGTGTTTTGGGGGAGGCGCGGTGGCGAACTAGGGCACCATCGCCTAGACCGCTCGACGGCGGCGCACTCAGCCTAGGGCAAGCGCGCGCGCCAACGAGGGGACCGGCGGCGGCACCACTACACCGCTGCTCTTCTCTCCGGCTGCAGCGATGAGCGAGAAAAGGAAAGGGCAAATGCGGCTAGGGTTTTAGGGAGGCATGCACATGCGCTGAGGGCGCCGTCGCTAGACTGCTCGATGGCAGCGCGCTCACCCTACGGTGGGCGTGCGCACTGGCGAGGGGACTGGCGGTGGCGCCGCCATCTCCGACTTGCCATGCTTTTCAGAGAGAAGGGAGAGAAAGCAGCGCGGCGAAGAGAGAGAGGCAGTTGAAGAGAAGTGAAATTAGGGTTTGGGGAGATCCGCCGGTCGGGGTTTTTCTCTCGCCGAGATTCACGTCCTGCCGTTCGATCAAGATCAACTGCCGAGACTGCTCGGGCCGACATTTGGCTAGGTGGGGCAGCAGATTCCTGGCCCAGGCCCAGGTTGTGTCCTGGGCGCGGGGGAGCGGGCGCGCGCGACGAGGATGCCGGCCGCTAGGCCGCGTTTTCGTCGCTGGGCCACGCGCGTGAACGCGCAATAGTGATGGGCCGGGTTGTGTGCACAATAAAAATTACGAGATGTTTTATTATTTTCAGAAGTAAATTTTGTGGATTTTTATCCAGTTTAACTCTAATTCAAAATTTGAACCAATGGGACAATTTTTTCAGAGAGTAGATGAGTATAGTAAAATGCTTCTAAAAAATAGATAAATTATATTTTTTATGTTTCCACTACAAAGTTTAATGTTGATTATCTTCTAATTAAATTTAAACCAACGGGAGAATTTAATTTGAAGAGCAATTACATTTAGTAAATTATGATTATGTTTATCCTCTAATTAAATTAGAACCAACAGGAAAATTTAAATTAGAGGAGTAGTCAGATTTATTTATATTAAATTATGATATTGTTATTTTCTGACCAACATTGATGATACTAATATTATAATGAGTTTAAGTTTGAAGTTTAAATCTCTGATAAATTTTACACCAACATGGTCAATTTTTAGAGAGTAGATAAAAACCAAGAAATGCTCCTGAACAAATAGAATATATTTTATTATCGTGTTTCCGCTGTAATGATGTTGATTGTCTTCTAATTAAATTCGAACCAACGAAAGAATTTAATTTTGAAGAGTAGTTGTATGTCTTTCAAGTTAATTTATGAGTTTTATGCATTAATTGTATTTTCTGCCCAACGGTGATGTAGAATTGATGCAGAAGATCACTTGGCTGCATGCCAACGGGCTGCAATGCTGGGGTATGTGAATGAAAATGCTTGAGTTAAGCCAGTTCAGGACTGTTTACTAATTTTCTGATTAAATTGGAATCAATGGGAAGATTTAATTGGAAAATGAAGTATAAGTGAATGTTTTAGTCGTAATGAATAAGTTTTAGTTACAGCAAATTGTATATAGATGTATCCCTCATAGAAAGAAGTTTAGCATAGTACTTATGCTAGTCAATCCTGCATGGCGGGAGAAATTTTGTGATGACTCATATGTTTTGTATCCCGCATAGCGAGAGAAGTTTGGGTAGCTCTTATGCTATTCTAGTATTGACTATGGCACAATAGAAATGCACCGTCATGGTCAATACTAATCAAAAAATAAGAAAAAAATATACAAGTGTGACTTGCAAAAGTACTGCTCATAAAAGACCTCGTTGAGTTCTTGAAGTGGAATAAGGAAAGTGCACTCCTATACGAATCAAGAAATAACTTTGTTTGCATGACACAATCATGTGAATGAAGTAAGTCATAAGTGTCTCCTTGGTCATAGTTTTTCTGAATAGTTCTCAAAATTATGGCAGTAAAGTTTATGCCATATTTCGAGGGAGAGAATAGAATGATACTCTTCATTGAGACTGAGATAAAGATTAATTAAGATGAATGTGACCGTCGAGGAGTATAACGGTCATAATAACGATACCCCTAAGCAGAGAAATAACTAAATTTCTAGATTTTTTAAAGTTTCAATAGGAAGATAGCGTAGTCGGCCTCAAAGATATTAATGTGGTGCTTAAAGCGCCATATAAGGTTTTAACAGATTAAACCCAAATAAGAAATTTGAAGATACACTATCTTTATAGAAGATGGGATGATCTGGGGGAGCATGATATGTAGAGATTTATGATTTGAAAAGAAGAGGGACTACGTGCCCACTCTAGTGATTCAAATACCTGTTGATGTTGTATGATTAATACAACACCTGTTGTTAGCATTTCAAAGAAGATGAGTAATGTAAACATGGATCTTGTGATACAAGAGCCTGTAGAATCAATTGTCTCTTGGCAATGAAAGAGCAACAACAGCCCCATATGAAAATGCCAGTAGCTGAGACCCAGAAGGTCTCAAAGAATTAGTAAACCAGTTTTTCGATGACTATGAAGTCTATGTTAGTGAAGAAATTCAAATGGAGGGTGATCCCATCTCATTTGAAGAAGCCATGAGAAGCGTTTACTCGTCTAAATAGCAAGAAACTATGAAAGTCGAAATGAATTCGATGAATACCAACGATGTTTGGGACTTAGTAGAAATTCCTAATTGAGCCAAAACAGTAGGTTGTAAATGGATCTACAAGACAAAATGTGACTCCATAGAGAATGTAGAAAGATATAAAGCATGACTTGTAGTAAAATGTGACAAGAATATTGACACGTTACGATTTAGAGTTACATCAGATGGATGTAAAGACGGTATTCCTCAATGGGGATTTGTATGAAAAGATTTACATGGCACAACCGAAAGGTTTTGTCGTGGAAGAAAAAAAACGTATAGGATGCCACCTGTAGAAATCCATTTATGGGTTAAAATAAGTCTCTAGACAGTAGTATTTGAAGTTAATGAAATAATGAGAAAGTTTTGGGTTTAAAAAAATGAGAAGGATAATAGCGTTTATGTGAAGTTCAAGAATGAAAAATTCATTTTCCACATCCTGTGTATAGATGATATTCTACTCACTAGTAGTGATGTTAATCTGTCATTGGAGAAGAAGTTCTTGTCCTCAAGTTTCAATATGAATGATCTTGGTGAAGTACAAATTCATCTAGATAGAAAAAATGGGGATTAGGACTATCACAAAGGCATACTTAGAAAAGATTCTAAATAAATAAAGTATGTATACGAGTAAACCTACGTCTGCTCCTATAGTCAAGGGTAATAGATTTGGAAACTTTCAGTGTTTCAGGAACCGATATGAGATCGATCAAATGAACATGGTTCCATATGCTTCAGCTGTTAGAAGCTTAATGAGTGTACAAGTAAGAACTTACTCTGACGTAGCTCACGTATCTAGGATGATGTTTTAGCAGAAGTCCAGTCCAGATATAGATCACTGAAATTGAATTGAGAATGTCTTGCAATTTTGTAGAGTATTATGGGTCTCATGCTGAGTAAGAAAGAACAAGTACTCTTAAATAGTTGTGGATATAAAATGTTAAGTCTTGGTGAGATGTGTAGTAAAATCCACAGTAATTGCTAACACTCGCAGTTGGAGTATTATTGTAGAAAAGTTCCAAAGAAACAGTTGTGGTGTCATCAATGATGCATACTATAATATAGCTTGTCATGAGGTTTCAGGAGCAGGCAAAATGAGGTTAAGGGAATTTGTACCCAGATTTAACAATGGTAGTCAACAACAATAACCATTTAAAATAGTTAACTCCTGAGATAACAGGTCAAGTGTGCTGTCAAACACATTAATATTAAGTTATATGTTGTAAAGGAGAAAATCTAGAATTATTTTGAAAGCATTGAGCATATGAGTACCAAGCAAGTACTTGCGGATCAGCTTACCAAATACTAACCACCTAGTGCGTTCAGAGAACACACAGTCGACATGGGTTTACGGGAAAGCCTATGTTTTCTGGATACTAAGGGCCTAATTAAAAATCTGTTTAAAAACAGAGAGGTGCATTGTAGTTGTTAAATCTAATGGCAATTGAACGTGACGATGAGACGATCTGTGATGGAATGAGAAAAGATAAAATAAGTTAAGTTTAAGTCATAAGGTGAGATCAAAGAGGAGAATGATAGGATTGATCTCCACCAACTTGGCCCAACGGCCAATTGGGCTCTTGATCCGCGCCCTGATCGGGGGCGTTCAACCGTTCTTCTGGCTGATGGGCCCCCGTCGCGCAACGCAATAAATAGGAGGTGGGACTGGGGCTTGAGACACGAGATTCATTGCAGCCGTCAGCTCCACCGAGGTTGCTAGCCCTAGTCCGATCTAGAAGGACACGCTGTGAGCGACGGAAAGTACCACCGCCCTCGCCGCCGCCACTGGACAGCTCCTCCACATCGCTGCTACATCTACGACGGCGCAATAGCCGTGACTGTGAGGTACATCATCGTGGTTTTGTCTAAGTTAAGTAATTAACCACTGATTTATGCATCCTTCAATTCTCATCCTGTTCGGTTGGCTGATTCGTTTATGTTTGAGAGAAGTACTGCTGACTGATTCTGATAAACAGTGTTTTTGTGAGGGGTGTGGCCAGCCCGGCCCCAGCCAGCCAGCCCGGCGATCACGCTGTCAATGAGAAGGCAGCAGGCTTCCAGCTTGGATGCATGGTTTTTCTTCGTCCCTACCCAACCTGGTCACGCTGACCCTCGACAGCTACTGCAACTGCACCGAGTTCCCCGCCATCGCCCATCTGCCATCGCTCGAGTCCCTGAGCATGCGAAAGATGTACGACGTGCAACGGCTGAGCAGCAACAGAGACACGCATGGCGCGGCCAAGTTCCCGTCGCTGGAGCTGCTGAACATGTGGGAGATGTACGGTCTGGAGGAGCTGTTCGAGGAAGAATCTGAAGGGGACTGCCCTCGCCTCCGCAAGATCTGCATCAGCCGGTGCCCGGACCTGAAGAGGCTGCCCCGCGCTCGTTCTATGACGGAGCTGGTTCTCCACTGCGGCCAGCAGCTCCCTGACATCTCGGAGCTCGCGTCCCTGGTGTCACTGAAGATCGAAGGCTTCCACGGCGTCAGGTCGTTCGGCTTGCCGCCGGCAGCTGCGGCGCTGAAGAGGCTGGAGATCAGGTCTTGCAAGGAGCTGGCGTCGGTGGACGGGCTGTCGGCGGCGCTGACCACCGTGCAGAAGCTTAAGATAGCAGGGTGCCCCAAGCTCGTTTTGCCAGGAGCTAGTAGTAGCCTGCAGACGACCTGAACACCCACACTCCCACAGTTAATTAGAAACATTTTTGCTAGTGCTTTTGTTTGTGTGTTCTTGCATGGATTTATGCTACATGTGACAATTTCTGGCCCTGGTCTGGTCGTTTAGCAAATGAATGTGACAGAGTTGTTCAAGCTACCAAAAAAAACAAAAACAAAAAAACATGTTAAAGTCGTTGTGACCGACTGCTTGCAAGAGGACTCGACTGCAATAGTGTCAGCTCCTCGGACAAATTGAGGACTCGCATGGCAATCACATCACTGAGGACCGCCCTGCGTCTCAAGATGGTTGGAATTGGACTGGATGCCGCACGGCACACGGTGGTGCATCGTGCACGGAGTCCCGAGATTCCTCGGTCCACTCCATGTGGCGCCCAAGTAAAGTTGAGGAGCGCGAGCACGTTTTGGTCATGCCGTTTTCTGGTTCCTGCGTGGCGGGATCCATCCGGTCGCTGGCAACGCAAGTGTGGCGGGGGCATGTGCTGCCTGTGAACAACTCAAACGCATGCACCAGCAACACGGCAGCGCCACGTGCATGCACATTTCGAAAATTCAAAGGGTGGGTGTATTTTGGTACTCCCGTGGCACGTGTGCCCTTCCTGACTTTGCGCTTGTGCTACGGCTACGGTACAGGGGATGAGAAGATGACTTGGGATAATGTCATGCAGTGCAAATGGAGCAGCATTTGCTTTTGTTTGTTTGTTTCGCGCACGTATTTCATTTTCATCAAGAGGTCGGGCGGAGTTCTGTTTGCAATCTACTGTTAGTGAGGAAAATGATAGGGAGGCAAGGCTGGTTGTTGTGGCGTCAGTTGATGATCCATCCAGCCAGCCATCCAGGGGAGGGGGAGGGGACAAGGTGACCGCTGACCCCGCCATACATATCCACCTGGGGTCAGGAAATGAGGCGTGGAAGAGACAGAGGCCATGTTCGTTTGTCTTATGAGTCGTACTGTTTCAGCGAACGAACAGTGTTTTTCTCTCACAACAAATCAGCGAACAGTATTTTCAGCCATGCCTTTTCAGCAAAACGAACAGGCCGGAGAGCAAAGCACGGCTGGGCATGGCTTTCAGTTTCAAATTGGCGGCGGCGTCAGCCTCTCCCTCTCCCTTTCAGTTTGAGACATTCCTCCTTTCGCTCTGGCCTCTGCTTGGACAACAGCCAAACAGGGGATGCTGCTGCCATTTGGTTTAGCAACCAGACAACTGCTGCCGTTTTAGGGCTAAGTCTTCAAGGGCCCTGAACAAAGCTCGACACCAAATATTACTCCCTCTGTCCATCAAAGCATGCAATCGTAGGATTGGAGTGGTGTCCAGAAAAGGATGCAATTAGTAGTGGGATCCACTGACAAAAAAAAAGTCTGATCCTGGTGAATCCACCCAGTGGTAAGAGTGCGAATTGGCTGACCGTGGGCAAGTGCAGATGAAAGAGAAAAAGGCTGGCGTCGCAGTGTCACTGCACACTAAAAACATAGGGTTACATGTCTTTTTTTTCTCCACCACTAAGTTTGCCTTGGGAACCTAGATTTGCATGCTTTAACAGACGGAGGGAGTACAACACAACTTCTCCAAGTAAATTATGATATCGTCAAATTTGTACATATGGTTGAGTCCACCTATTTAATTCAGCGCTCAGTGTCGAAATCACCCAAAAGGGAAGTAGTTAGTGTATATCCTCAAAAGAAATTTATTAGAGTTTATTTTTAGTCAAATCATTCTAAGTTTGATCAAGTTTATAGAGAATAATATCAACATGTATAATACAAATAGACATACTACTATAAAAGTATTTAGCTTATTATATATCTACTAACGATACGTATTTGATATCATAATATTAAAATTTGTTTGCATTGACTCATCAGACTTAGGATGATTTTATCGTAGAATAAAATAGTACCCCTCCGTGCCAAAATGTAAACCGTTCTAGCTTTTTTATATACATAGTTTTTACTGTGTTCTACATAATATATATCTAGATACGTAACAAAAACAATGTCTAAAAGAACATGACCGACTTACAATTTGAAATAGAGGGATTATAACTTTTTAAAGAACTGAGGGGCTAGGAAGTACTAGAAGAAAAGATCGAAGTGTTATATGAACATAACATTTTTGCAAAATAAATGGTCATTGGAATATATTTATTTGTAAGGGAATGGATAACATCATTTTCAGCAATTTGTGATTAACGCTATAGTCTAGGTCAGCCAAGTCGTGCTGCACAAAAGTAGTACTAGCATGCCTCTGTGTCTAGATTGAGAGATGTGAATGTCTCTGCATCTAGATTCCGATGTAAACCTTCGATTTCATGACCTGTTCTAGTTTCGTTGTATTTTTTCCCTCTTAGAGAGGCCCCTAGTTGACAAGCACAGAAGTACTCCTGACTTAAGGGCGTGTTTGCCAGCGCTCCGCATAAGAAGCCGCAGAGCGCTACCAAACACCGCCACTTTGTCCGAGAAACCACAAGAATTGCTCCCTCCGTTCCTGACGATTTTGCACTGTGGGCGCGGAGTGGAGAAGACCTGCTCTCCCGCTTCGCTCCCGCTTTGCCTCTCCCATCCTCTTCCTCTTGCTACCTCTCCTGGTGCCTCCCGCAATGCTCCCTCACCTCCGCCGCCGTCCTTCTCCATTGTGGCCGTTGTCGCCAAGATCTAGCATGTCTTCACTGGCCGAGCTTGCTGAGATCTAACTCGTCATCGCCAAGCTCATCGAGACCAAACACGCCACGAGACCAAGTTCGTTGAGACCAAGATCATGCTCACGCCGCCTCCTCGCACCTCACAACTTGCCCTCCTCTTCCTCTACCGAGTTGGGAGCTAGAGTTGTCGTGGGAGCTCTACTAAATGACTCCGCTTCGAGTTTGGAGCAGAAGGGAGAAGGAGCGCGGTGGGGAGCGGGATTGGGAGTTGGTTCGAGTGTGAGTGTATCGGGAGCTCTGCCAAACTGGCCCTAAAATGCACCATCAATTTTTGAATTTGGTTAGCACCATGCCCAGGAAAGTGAAGCGAGAAGAGAGAGAGAATACGGATGGGCATGGCTTTCAGTTTCATTAGCGTCATCGTCCACCTCTCCCTTTCAGACATATTCTTATGTTGGTTCAGGTTGGAGAACAAAGAACCACGATCCGTTGCCATTTGCTTTTGCAAGCGAGAGTGCTTAGGTATATATATACTAGAGAAGGTTGTTTGGATGAAAACGTGAAAAAAGATAGGGCTCCCAGATGTCAGATTTTGAACGTTTGGAGTTAGGATCGGTATTGTCTGGAAGACTTCTATCCAAACAAGTCCTAGATCTTAAAAGGGATGTGAACTGAGCTTATAGCCAAATACAACATATGTGCATGAATGACTAGCCAAAGGACTGTGATCACCATGACTTTCAGTACATGTGAAACCAAGCTTCACTTCTCCCATCAAAATTATGTTGTCGCCAATGTACAGAAGGCAAGAACGGAACTGAAATGCAGATTTTTCGCATGGACACTAATACACAAAAAAAAATCTTGACTGCAAACAACTTGATGAAGCGAGGATGGACGGATGACCCTATATGTAAACTCTGTGCAAATGATCAAGAGACACCAACACACCTGTGCAAAGATTGCCCTTTCGCTAAGGAAGTTTGGGAGTTGATCAAGGTGTGGTTTGGGTTAACATACCTCAGCTCTATAAACACAAGTGGCTCGATCCATAATTACTGGAGAAGATGCAGAAGAAAAGTTGACAAAAATCAGAGAAGACATTTTGATGGGATCATAATCTACTTTTGGTGGAATATCTGGAAAGAGAGAAATAGGCGAACTTTCCAACAAAGAAGTTCAAGCCCAAGACAAGTCGCGATGTTATGCAAAGATGATATCAATCAATTTTCTTCGCCCCAAGGCATAATACGATGATTCTGCAGTAGATCTTTCTACATTTCGTTTTCATGTAGTTGCGGTTTTCTTGTTTTCGGTGGTGCATGAGCTTGGGTTTTTCTTTTCCCAACCTTTGGTAGTTTTGTTAGTTGCCGGTCATTTCTCTTCATGTTTTAGCTCGTCACGCCGATGTAAATAGAGAGTTGTAATTGCTCTTTTTTTTCCTTCTTCTTTGTCTAATAAAATCCGTGGCAAAGCTTTTGCCGTCCTTTCGAAAAAAAAAGTGCTTAAATGCAGGGCAGTACTATTAGCATGTCTCTGCATCTAGGTTCAGAGGTGAACCTTCGATTTCAGGTCCTGTTCCAGTTTAGCACACTGCATGTTTTTTTCCCCTTGACGGGTAGAGGAGGCCCCAAGTTAACAAGTACGGAAGAATCATTAACCACACATCATTAGTACTTTAGTAGACTATACATAAATTCGATGCTCGGCCATCACCAGTCCGTCACGTCTTTCTGAGATGCAAGAATTTCATAAAAAAGAATTTCATAATTCTATATCTAATATTTTTTTAGCTAAAATTGCAGGTAAGAAAAATGAAATAAAAATAAGCTAAGACGGTGAACAACGAGGCCAATTGCACGCTACTATTGTCTCGCAACAAAAAACAAAAGAAAAAAAAAGACCAAAAATATGGGGTTTCCTACTCGATCCGTCCTTTAGCCAGCTTCTTACTAGCTTTCTTACCCTTAGCTCTGCTTTTGTGGTCGAGCCTTCAACAAAAGAGCTAGACAAAAAGCTGGTAAAAAAGTAGAGTGAGAAGGAAGGGTTCCCCGATAAGGAAGGTTGACCCGATACCCATAACCTACAGAGAGCGAGTTCAGTATCCGCCTACAAAGAAGCAACTAAAATCCTGACTGACAAGGTTTGAGGGTATCTAATAGCAAAACTCTCCTTCTAATGAGACAGGGTATTCACTACTGTAAGGTACTGAGAGAACAGATACTTAGATCACATACTTTGACACTTCTTCCTCACTTGAAGAGGAAAAAGATTATTCACTTGCCGGGGAGGGTCATGGACTGGCTGGCACGAAACTTGCATATCCAAACCTAGCGCTGGCTGGTGGGCCTATAGCTGGCTCGCTCGATAGATAAAAAAAATCTTATCATGGGAACTCTAGTCTAAGAGATTTGAATTGTAAGGTCTGGTTACCATTTCGAGTAGAGAAGGTGGGGAAATAAGGAACTGAAAAAGAAACCCTCTACTACCAACAAGCAAGTAAGATTCATCAGCAAATAGGTGAGCCGATAAAAGGAATTACTTTTTCTAGGCGGATTTATTCTAATTGAAAGTTTGTAATTCCAGCTATACTCAAAACTAAGGGACACTACCCATGGGACACAACCAAAAGATTCTTCGACTGGCTTTGGCTCATTATAATACTCGGTTGGGAAAGTAAACGGCTGGCTTGCTTCGCTCTTTCAGAAAATCTTAGTCTAAAGATACGCTTGTAAACAAATCAAAATCTTATTCGATGGCCCGGGAGATGTGGTGGAAAAGACTGCTTCTGTGGATCCTGCTGACTTGATTGGGTGAATAAATGGGTACTTTACCTTAAAAACTGGGTTGGCCACTAGATACCGTTTACGGATAGAGGGAAAGGGCCGTCCCCTTCAACAAGGGTATAGCCATTAGAGAATTTCTAAAAAGGATAGAAGCCACACTTTGATCTACTCTAGGCTAAGCTCTTGGATCGTTACTATCTTCGTGAACCATACCTCCAGAAAAAGGATTACATGGATGCGCTTCTTTCTTTATTTATGATATTTCTAGCGAGCAGGAATCGAACCTGCCAAAAGAAGGCCATCTTCTCGCTATCCAGCCCTTAATGGGCGTCACTCACTGAAATATATCATGGAATTCAATCAACTAGTACTTGTTTTAAGCAGGCATTTGGAAAGAGACCCGCACTCACTCTCTTCCCTGCAGCCCCCCCTTCCCAAGCATTCTCGGCATAAATTCAATAACTCCAGTGCGGCTTGGCACACTCAACTGCTAATCTCAAAGAGGATCTCTTCTGGGGCTTTGCTTGATAAGACCAATCTCATCCGACTTGCTAAGCATTCAGTCCCAGAGAGGATAATGCTTCAAGGAAATGTCAACTTGCTACCTGCAGCATACAAGCATAACTAGTTCTCTCACTTTCGATAGAAAGAATCTGCTTTCCTAGACAGAAACGAAAAAATCTTTTTCATTCCCCAGCAAGAGGATGTGCGTTAGCGCAACGGCTTTCGCGCTAGTTGCTCAAAAAATCGTATAAAAATCAAGCAAGAAAAAGGTTCTGGCAGGCTGCTGGCGTGGGACTGTAAATCCTCTTTCGTTGGTTGCTTTGTTTGGACTCTAAATCCAAACGGAGTGAGTGGTTCAAATCCACTTTAGAACGAGACGAGAATCAAATTGTAGGCTTATGGGAACATGCATATGAACCTTCCGAAAAAATATTGAACTGTGTTCAGTGACATACAGAGGGAATTTCACGAGCAGATTAAAGCTACCCAAGCCTTGTCTTTGAATGCTAGCTTTTTCTTATGAAATGCAAAGCAAGTTCTTTCCAATGCTACTTCCAAAATGCCAGTGCATGGATTTGATCTCTTGACTTTTATTAGCTCCTGATATAGATAATGCTAAGTGCTCGCTAACTCTATTCGTCCTGGCAAAGCGGTGAACCTTGATCTCAGCCTGCCTAATGAAGAAAGAGAAGTCGATCTAGAGAAGCTTCTTAAGTAAGAATAAGATGGAAAAAAAGTAGAGATTTTACAGTTCATTCACTTGGAAGCTAGCTTCATCTGGAGCATACACTCTGGGAGGGGTATCACAATCTTCTGTACCTATATGGAAATCGTAGCAAGGCTAGCTTGTAACATCAAAGAGCAGGCATTTCCAATTAGTTGAAACGTTGCAAAAACCATAGAGCTGGCTTATTAGGTAGTTTTTTTTGCATTATATATTTAACGCCTTCTTGCTCATCTAGAAACTCTCCCTCTCATATCTCGTGACAACTATTCATGTCTCGGTTATTTGTGCTATTCAAATGCCTCTTTGTAAGCCTGTGCAGACTGAAATGCATATGCCTCCCAAAGCGGATTAAGCATATCCTCACTCTCTCTAGCAAAGAGTGAAGAAGGGTTAACATCATGAATATGCGATCAAGCAAAGAGTGAAGAAGCAGCAATACGTGTTTTGAGTTATCTTTCTTTTTTCTTCTAAAAAAGCAATAGAAAAGAAGAAAGAATTCCGTAGTGTGTATCAACTTCATCTGCTTGCATTGCATCAACTTCATCTGCTTATAAATTCATTGTGTAAAATAACTCGTAAATTCATTGTGCCAGAATTGATCACTGATCAGGTGTGATCAGTCTCATCCGTCTAAGAGACTGATCCGGTGCGATGAGTCTATTCCGTGTAATATTTTGGAATTCCTCTTCCAACTCGTCCCGGAATGGGCGTTATGGCAAAGAACAAGAAGAAAAAGAAAGAAGAAATTTGTCCAATAGTAACAAATGGTGCCTCCACAAGTTGACATCCGATCCAACCTAGTAGTAAGCAATCCGCCAAAAGCAACCAAAATATTCATTGGTGAATCGGTCAAAAACTTGAACTACGCACATACATTTCTTTAAAAAAAGGTAAAGCCAAGAGAGAGATAAAAACCGGTGCTATTGCGGCTACACCTCCCGCTTTGTCAGGTATACTGCGAAGAATGGCATGGAT